TCCTGCTCCACTGCAGGGGCTCAAGTGGAGGTCCGTTTCAGAAGATAGGTCAACCGATTTAATTCTGAACCTCTTCCTTAAGTTCCTCAAGTTACTTGTACCTTTGTTCATTACCAGCAGTAAAGAAGCCTTTTGTCCTGTGGCTGTCTGACTTCTGAAATCTGGACTAAAAACAATCAGTACACTGCAAATAAGCTATTGATTCACCATCAAGGACAATATTTTTTAATAACTGCCAGGTGAATATGAATTTCAACTCATGGCTTTGGAGGTGGGAGGTCCCCTATGCCATTCCCATCTCCTAAGCCAGGCTAATCTGTTTTGTATAATATATTCTGGTCATCAAGACTTCCTCTCCCTTGCATTACCATGTTAAAATGAAGCAGATGACTGCAGAACATCCAAAAGTGACCGACTAACCTTTCATCTGAGCTTGCATTAGATACACTTGTAACAGCTCAAACACGAAAACTGTTCCTCTGGTAGGTTTTCCCCTTGGGGCTAGATAACATTTATAGATTTCCACTATGGCCATCAGCTTCCACTTATGAAACTAACTTCATTAAGCTAGTCCATCAGAGTACTGACACCCAGCCATTTGTTTGGACATTGCTGCAATATTTTTAATTAACACTTGTGAACTTGGAGGACTAAAAGCTCTGAGTTTGGAAAGAGATCCCAAAGCATCCATAATAAATACATGGCTGATCTTGCTTCCTTTCAGGTAAATGTAAAGGCTTTCCCCATGTGTAACCCCAACATGGAAACATTTTGTGAAGTAGCTATACCTTGTGGTAAACTCTCCTGACAAACATGCCTCGAGCAAAAGCTTGAATAGTGATAGTGGCCTGGCGGATATTCTGGAAAGCTCGAAAGATCCTGAGCATTCGATATTGTTTCTGGAAGATGATGGCAGCTCTTGTTTTCCTTAGGTGGTCTGCTAACCTGTGAAGCACATGGTAGGGGAAAAAAAAAAAAATGTATAAGGGTCACAACTCCAAATAATCATGACACTTAAGGATGAGGATCACAAGCTTCGCTATGAAATTCAACTAGACATCAGGCTCACAGTGGTGGCAGAGTCACTGTGGAAATAAAGGCTAGGAACGACACGGTTCAGAGTATGACTCATTCATTTTCATCATGAAAATATAATCTATTAATGCAATCGCCTACATCGGTCCTGACTGGTAGTATGCTAGGTTGGTACGCAATCCTTCTTGTATGAGCTGTTTGACATTGAGAGAGAGAACATCCCAACACCAAACCTGGTAAAAGGAAAGCTTATACATTCTCTCCCATTAACATTGTATCAGGGAATATCAGATACATGAATGTTATTATGCACAATTTCATTTTCTTTCTGTTTTTAAGACTTTTTTTTTTTTTTTTTTTTTATCTTCACCTTTTCTTTTGGTTTTTGTTCTTTTCTCAAAATTACCTGAAACTCTAAACTATGGAAGTTAGCTGCTTCAGTTACTAACTAAAAATATCAAATATAGTACAAGATATCTCTTGGCTATTAATGCTTTCAGCAAAACTGCAGAAAACCAATTTGACTTTTAAATCCAATGTGCACTGGTCTGACAACATTCATGGAGCAGAACCCCAAGTGATTCCAACACAGTGAATAATTTGGGACGTGGTCTTTACTTTTGTGTGCTGCTGCCAGTCTGAAAATCTACTGGACGCAGTTATGCACACTTCATTGTCAACTCTCTTAATAAATATCCATAAAACCATGGTTTAACTCAATAGCTAGCTTGTTTCACTGAATTTACAACATATTAACTTTTCTCTGCATGAAACAAATAGACATTTGCTTTGGTTTTTAGTTTTGGTCTTAAGTTTCACTGAACTTTTTGCCAAAATGTTAAAAAAGTCTGTGTTTTCCCATGCTTTCCACTCTTACAGAGCCACAATCTGTCACAGCAGCCTATAAAAACAAAACCCATTAACAGAGAAGAGGGGGGAAAAGGGGAAGAGGAGGTTTAAATACCCCACAAGAAGAGAATGAGCCCAGCATTAAAGGATGGATCATAACATAGGAATTGCCATACAGAGTCAGACTAAAGGTCTATCTAGCCTAGAATCCTGCATCAGACAATAGCAATGGATTGGTAACAATCAGACAATTAGTAATGGATGCTTTACAGTAGAAATAAGAACCAGAGCTTACAGGGAGTGATCCATTTCCCATCAGACTCTTCCAGTCACCATCAGCCATAGGTTTTGGCATGTCCTGAGCCTAAGGTGACATCCCCGACTGCCGTGCTTAAGAGCCACTGAATGACCTACCCCCCCAACACACACATTTTCATAGCCCGTTTTGAACCCAGTATGCTATGACGACTTCCATAAAATCCCCTCTGCCAATGGGTTCCACCCATTAATTATGCAATATGTAAGTAGAGGTGCACCGATAGAGAATTTTTGGGCCGACACCAATGGCTGATTTTTAACAAGCCATATCAGCCAATTCTGATCCCCAAGGAACGCCGTGTGCAGATGAAACGAGAGGCGTACGCGCACAACGCTTTAAAACAGGCTAAATGCTTTTGCATCGCTTTAATGGTGTCGGTGTTAGCACGCCTCGGCAGCGTATTGTGCATTAATTCCAGCTGCTGTAGGAAATACAGCAGCATAATACGCCTTAAATGACTAGGGGTGCAGCAAACTAAAACTCCTTCAAGGAAGAGGAGTTTTAGTTTGCTGCCCCTACAGCCGTGGAGTGAAGCACCGGACTCTGCAGCTCCACAGCTCTGAAAGAAGCCCTGCAGGCAGCCTGGCAGCAGCCCAGGAAAGCAGCTCTGCTCAAGAAAAACGAGAAGCTTGATTTTTTCTGCCCCCCCACCCCGGAGCCTGCCTGCCTGAGCTGCTTGGGGGCCCAGTGCTTCCCTCCGTGGCTGCGGGGCCCCCCCGGAGGGAACCCCCAGCCCCCCCACCGGCAACTCGCCCTCCCCTCCCCGCTGGAGAGGCAGGTAAGTCAGCAGGGTGTGTGCAAGACACAGGGGTGTAATCAGCCCTAAACTGAAGTGGTGTTTTTTAAAACCCACCGCTTCATCTTAGGGCCACCATTTCATCTACACACGCCCAGAGTTACTTGGGCAGTAGTTTATGTAGCAACACTCCTGAATGGATGACATTAACTCAGAATCAAGGGAAAAATTCATGCTAAGCAATAAGCAACATAACTGGAAATCTAAAGGGAACTCAAACTGAAGAAAAAAAATTGCCATTAGGGCATGAAACCCACTATCCTTTCCATCTGTTCTGGACCTCTGCGGCTAGCTGGGTTGGGCTGGAGGAAGTGAAAACGAACTGAGGCAGAGAAGTCCAACACCCTTTACCCTTGAGGTCCATTATTATAGTCGCATACAAGCTAATTTGCTTGTTCAGTGTTGCACATTGGGATGCAAGAGGACTTTTGCCATCGTGCCACTTTGCTTCATTTCTCATTTAATATCAAAAGCCTGCACTTTGAAGCAGTGTTATAAATGATGATAGTAGTGATTTGTCAGGTGCTAAAACAGTGTTAGGGAGGTTCAGGTTCTCAGACTTGGCTTTGTATAGATTTTATGCTCTAAATAACCCCATCTCCAAAATCACTACCAGAGGAAATTACTCCAAATCATTGGAAGAAACATATAGTAAGCCAAGCTTAAGAACAACCATGAGATAACAAATAGGGACCTATTTGATCTCCAAGGAAGGAAGTGGGTACCAACTAGTCTACTGGAATGGGTCAGCAAAGGCAGATCCCAAATGCCATTGCTGATAATAGGGAATTACCATCCAGGGAATATTTGATAGCTTTATTAAAATTTCTCAAAGTACTTAGCAAACCCTAACCATTTAGCTTCAGTCTATGCTCCAGAGAGGCTGGTAAGTCAGGAAAAATCTTTTAAATATATGTGATTTATTGGTGCCCATAATGTCTTTTGCACTGGTGTTCAGAAAGAATCGGGCCAAGGAAGTATGGCTCATCTACTTTTAAAAATCACAGGGAGAGCTGAAAACATAAGGCAGCAATGAATCCTAGGAACGACTCCCAGGGCACTATCCTTACACCCTCTTATACCTGGCATATGCATATAAAGAATAGACTATGTTCAAAGGCACAAAATGGTTAAAAAGCACTTTTATAATCCTGGGGTGCTGCAAGAGCTGAGTACCTCTAATCTGGCCGTTCAAAATATTAAATGCCCAGGTTTCATAATGCTGAAAGGTTATCAGAAGTTTAAATGGTTCCCATAAAAACAATAGCTAGAATTAGTCACCACTCTACAGTTCCCAGCTAGTAATAACTTGCAGACCCTCCTGAGACTTACCTGCGAGCCAGATGTCCCCGTGTATACCTCTGTATGGTTACTGCAGCCTCCTTCATCCTTCTGTACTTCAGTCTCTGCAACCAGCCCCGCACAGTCTTCTGAATCATAATAGTAGCAGCTCTAAATTTATCTGCCCGGAGTTTCTCCAGATATGCCACCTGGCCTGCACGGAAAAAGATCTTGGTACGTCCAAACTGGAACTTGTCAGGATCCTTTTCAAAAGCATAAAGGAAACTCCAATTAAGACAAACATTTTCAAGAGGAACCAACATACTTGCTCAGCATAAGGCTGCAAAGATTTGAATAAAAAAAGTTATCAGTTAAATGGCGGAGTTTCATCCTTTTAACCCTACTATGCTGATTTTCATGTACTTGCATAACCACTGGGGCAGGTTATGGACCAAACCCTAATATCAACAAAATAAGTGAGAGACTTGCACATAATAGATTTGTCCCAGTGCATTAGCAGAGACTAAAGGTTTTTCACCTTGCTCTGAAAGTATCCCTGGATCCAGGGACCCTCCTGACAGCAGGGATGTCCAGCTTCACAGCATCTGGGGGCTGCCCACCACACTGTGTACATGCCATGGGGGACCACATGCAGCACAGGCTCCCTATGACCTGCACCATGAAGGCAGCAGACGCCCCACTCCTCATTGACATATAGGCAGTGCAAAACATCCCCCTCCAGCCATGCATGGGCACTGAGAACTCGGGCTCCTTTGGTGTCACACAGGCAATACAAATCCTCCTTTGAGGCCCAAGCCCCACTGCCACCACAGGTGCATACACGGGCAGCACAAGCTGCCCCACCATGTGGCCAGCAAGCTCACTGGGCCTCCTCCCACCATACTGCCTCTCCTCAAAGTCCCCAGCTGCCATGGCAGCAGAAACAATAGGTGGTGGAAATGGCAATGAGCTGAACATTAACCCCCAATGGGCCACATCCAGCCCATGTACAGCAGGGCTGTCACACTGGCAGCCCTGCCCTACATCTTACCATAACTGCATGGGGTAGAACTGAGGACTGGTGCATCTTCCTTTCTGGTTTTGGTTTCTGTCTTTCCCTGCTATGCAATGAGTATTTAACACTAAAGTTCCCATGTTCTCGGCACTCCTCTTTGTAGGCATGTTCATGTTCAAATAAGGGCAACAATAAAAAAGGAGGACCCCTAGGCTGCCTATACCTTTTGTCTGTGTAGAGGTGAACCAAAACCTGAGGTCCAAAAACTCCCAAACTTGAGAGGTGCAAGACAGGATGTGCATTGCTTTAATTTTTCATGCTGCAAATAATTCAACTAACTGCAGTGGTCACTTCACTCAGCATGTAAAGTGAAGCCTTTGAAGGACCGCAGCAATTCTCACAAAAGGAAATAAGAGCCAGAAATAAAGACCCAGTCAGAGTCCAAGCCATGGATGTGAGCTTAAAAAACAGACAATGGAAAGAACTCCTAGGGAAATGCATCTCAATTTGGAAACCACTTGAGTTAGTGAATGAGCCTGAAGAATGAACCTGATCCAAACATGGCAAACGCTGACTTTGTCTTTTTTTTCTTTTTTTTTTTTTTTAATTTTAAACAAGACAAAAATTAACCAATGGAAAAATATTGCTGTGTGTGGGCTGTTCTCACAATTCTCTTTTTCACCCTGCATTCTCTTTTACTCGTATAAGAAATTAAATGTGCAAATGGGTATATCTACCACAGTGGTCCTAAACCTTTTTAGACTTGAGGCACCCCTTGATTGATTAGAGGTGCCCCCACAATAGACTGGAAGGACCCTCAGAAAATGCCAGCTTCTAGGTTTCACTCTTTCTGAGTGCAGAAAAAAAATAGAGCAATTTTTCTGTTGCAAAGACCTGAGGAAGACCACAACAGGTTAGAACATTATTAAAACTATTTGAAAACTTTGGGTTTGTCTCATGAATCATGTTTGTACACTTAAGTGCTGCACTCCATGGCAGCCTTTAAAGGATCTCAAGGCCCCCCCAGTGCCAGGGCACCCTGGTTGAGAATCACTGTGCTACAGCAGTAGGCAAGTTCTTTACCCATTCTGTCTCTTAACCTTACTTCAGATTCTTTATGCTATACACAATGTGTGAGACTGAGCAATTCAAAGAGAGGGAAAAACATGTTTTGTAGAAATGCTAAATTGGTATAATCTACTGTACATGATTGGGCTATGCAATTCAGCTGCACAAAAAGGTCTTTTCAGCTTGAATGCAATCAATAGATCTCATGCCATGCCTCATTTACTCTCATTACTCCTTCAGAGATGATTTGATTTTGGAAGAAGCTCCTGCCGACACTAACTGCATCAACATCTGCTGTTATAGCAGATAAACTGGGAGGGAGGAAAGGGGAGATGGTATCAGTTAAGAGTTTGTGCTCCAAGGCTTGTTGCTAAAGTTTCAATCCCAGCTCACCTTAATGAGGTCTTCCAGCAGCGTTTTACAGATTTGTTTCTTGTCATTCTTAGAGATATCCCTCTTTTTCATAAGAACACGATACCTATTCAAAAAGTCATGGTAGGACCACCTGTAAACAAAGCACAGAAAAAAGATCAGACAGCATATCAGGCCTTCTTTATTAAGCTAAAATTCTGCATTAGAGATCAACCAAAACCAAAACCTCAAATCCAAACCTTTTCACATTCGAGATAAAAGGAATCAAGAAGGCATTGTTTAAAATCAGATCAGCACCTAACCCCTTCTCATTCTGTACTAGTTTGGATTCAAAACTGAAATTTGCTTTATTTTCCCGGTAGAGATGCATTTAAAAGGTACACACAAAGTTATCCGGAAAGTATCACCATCAGGTTGGATCCAAGGCTCCTAGTGAGAAGTGTTACTAAGGGTGCCTAGGCAGACAAGGTTCTTCGGGTGAATCTGATATCTTTTATTAAACCAACTTAAATAGTTGGGGAAAAAGTTTTTAGCAAGCTTTCATTTTTAAAAACCCTTCATCAGGCTGAGGAAGTACCTGCAGTTGGTGTGCCTATATACAGGCTCCAGGCTGAGGAAGCATCTGCATCTGAGGGTGCCTATACATATGCTCCAGGGTGGCAGGGGAGGAAAGGAGGGTGGAGGGAAGCATTTTACCTAGGGCAGTTCTTGGGAGTCACCGTAATTAAAATGCCACAGCATGTATTCAGCATCCCACATTTCAACATAGTGGCAGGGGCATTTTAACTAAAGTTTGTTTAACCAGCTTTACTTAAAGGGCCTCCCCCCCACTATTCTGAAATCTGGGACGCTGAATACATGAGATGCTGGAGCATTTTAATTAGAACGCTCCAGAAGAAATGATTAATCAACTCGGCTCTGATGCCTTCTAATCGGAACGCGTGGGAGCATGTGCAGAGGCACCCTGAGATTCCTCTATCACAAGCCTCATACAAGCTGTCTGAAGGATTTACAAAAATATTACCCTATTTGCTAATATAAGATGACCCCCCCCCCCCCCCCAAT